AGTTTGGGATTGCTACCCAGGTGTCTGTGATCAAGGTCAAGGTCACTGTTACTAAAAATAGAAATTCTGTTTCCGCTCAATAACTTGAGTTTGCTTTGACCTATTGACACCAAACTTGGTGTATGGATAGCTTATATCAAGAGGCAGCTTGGGATTGCTACCCAGGTGTCTGTGATCAAGGTCAAGGTCACTGTTACTAAAAATAGAAATTCAGTTTCTGCTCAATAACTTGAGTTTGGTTTGGCCTATTGACACCAAACTTGGTGTATGGATAGCTTATATCAAGAGGCAGCTTGGGATTGCTACCCAGGTGTCTGTGATCAAGGTCAAGGTCACTGTTACTTAAAATAGAAATTCAGTTTCCACTCAATAACTTGAGTTTGGTTTGGCCTATTGACACCAAACTTGGTGTAGGGATAGCTTATATTAAGAGGCAGCTTGGGATTGCTACCCAGGTGTCTGTGATCAAGGTCAAGGTCACTGTTACTAAAAATAGAAATTCAGTTTCCGCTCAATAACTTGAGTTTGCTTTGGCCTATTGACACCAAACTTGGTGTATGGATAGCTTATATCAAGAGGCAGCATGGGATTGCTATCCAGGTGTCTGTGATCAAGGTCAAGGTCACTGTTACTAAAAATAGAAATTCAGTTTCCGCTCTATAACTTGAGTTTGCTTTGGCCTATTGACACCTAACTTGGTGTATGGATAGCTTATATCAAGAGGCAGCTTGGGATTGCTACCCAGGTGTCTGTTATCAAGGTCAAGGTCACTGTTACTAAAAATAGAAATTCAGTTTCTGCTCAATAACTTGAGTTTGGTTTGGCCTATTGACACCAAACTTGGTGTATGGATAGCTTATATCAAGAGGCAGCTTGGGATTACTATCCAGGTGTCTGTGATCAAGGTCTAGGTCACTGTAACTAAAAATAGAAATTCAGTTTCCACTCAATAACTTGAGTTTGCTTTGGCCTTTTGACACCAAACTTGATGAATGGGTAGCTTATATCAAGAGGCAGCTTGGGATTACTACCCAGGTTTCTGTGATCAAGGTTATTGTATTTAGTTGTCATGTTATAACTTTGCTTTGACCTTTTGACACCAAACTTGCTGAGTGGCAGCTTTGGATTGCTACTTAGATATCTGCTGGGAGCAAGTTCAAGGTCATTTACTTACAATAGAATTTTCAGCTTCTACCCAATAACTTCAGTGCACTTTGACCTATTGATTGCTGTCACATAAAAACTTGGCTGTTGAAAACCTGGTTTTCGTCGCATTGTGGCGCTTCTTGTTTTTTTTCTTTTTAGACAACATCAATCAAAAGGTCTTTATCCTTGTTGTTCTGGTTCATATATTGTACCTTCATAATAAAGCCACCTTAAAGAAACTCCACTGAGGTTTATAAGGCTGAAAATATATTTTTTTATTTTTTCAAATAGTTCAACTTAAGACAGAAATATAAATAAAATGTAACTTGGAAATATACAAGAAATACATTGAAAATCGTATGTTTGGGCTGTTCTCGGTCCAATTAGTATAGATCTTCATCAAATGGAGTAATAATCTCAAAAAATTAGTTCCAGTCCCGTCATGTCAAAAAACCTCAGGGGAGTCCCTTTAATAATTGCTTTTCAACAATTTGCATCTGTACAGTACGACCACTCTAACTTGTTTAGATTGAGAATCAATCATGTGTGTTCTCTTTATTCCTGGACTATACCAGTACTGGTGGTACATAATGAGTATTTCCCCTGAATAGGACACAACATCCAGGATAATTGTGTTATACAGCTTCAGACCCAAAGTTTTCCTTCGAACGAAACTGATTTACGTACATATATATTTGTGTATGATAACTAAAACATCAATGTTGTTTCACAAATTTATTTTTATTAAATATATGAACTATGATATAATCTACATACATGTATAGAACATTAATTTATAAAAAGAAAAGATTACTGTTAACATATTATACTTGAATCAATACTGCCAGTATACTGATTATAATATATATAACAAAATGTACTTTTTCATATTTATCTCCCTTTACTTAATAATATGTAAAACAGTTTATAGAAATATCTTAATTCTAACATTTTCTTAAACTTGTAAAAAGGTCAAATCTATTGTAAATATCAGATTGATGAAAATAAGAAATAAACTTATAGCATTTCTGATGTATAATGGGACTTTAACCAACATTTCATCAACTTTAAAAAAAAATCTTTATAAATTTTCATCATAACGTGTCAATATAAATCTTCAAATAGTTTTACAACAGCCTCTCTTCTATCCCAAATAAGTTGCAATGACCTTGAATGCTGTTATGTCAGAAGGATTAAATGATAATTCATGTTCAAACATCATACAGACTTAAAGGCCCATTATGCCTCAGAAATCTTTTCTTTTTACTTTATTTCTAGTATCTTGTAACAGTTTCAAACAAAATACCCATTCGTCATAAAATTAAACCATCTTTGATCGAGCTGCTTTGTTGGCAATTGGTTTAATTGTGATGAATTATAATTTTGTATGAAATGAAAACTACTACTTCTGTTGACATTTTGTTAACTTTAGGACATATAACTACCCATTCAGCGCTACTTTCCCCAGCTGTTAAACACCTAGCATGTTCTAAATCCATTATAAAAACATTATTAAACACATGTTTGACATTTCTAAAGAATTGTATAAAAGCAGATTTCCGAGGCATAATGTGCCTTTAAAGGTATGCTCTGCATGAAAATTTAGTATAAACTGTTACAAAGGTAAATAACTACAAAATTTTCGCATATACATTGTACCTCAATCAGATATTCAGAACAACCAAAAACGTTTCATGTAGATACATTCAATTGTGTACGAGTTGTGTCCCGGCAATAAATGAAATATGGACATTTACAAAGCCTAATGGGCAATAACTCTAAAAGTGTGCACAAGACAGCAATTTACTTCAAAGGTTCGAAACAAAAATTAAGCATTGCAAACTTTAAAGGGCTTTAAGTCTAAAATGTGTTATAAGAGGGTATGATTTTTATAGTGTTTTTAATGAGATTTATCTATCTATGAATTTTCAAGCTCTTAACTTCAACACTTTAAAAATTAACCTCGGAGGGACAAAACTTAATATGAAAAGGCATGAGAGAAAACTAAGGTGATTCTTGAATATTTACCTTCTTAAACAACTTTGTTGTATGATAGTATTATTACTGATATGATTGTGGTTTTAGAGAACGGGCACTATATTGAATACGTATACATAATACAAAAATACTTATCTTTGTAAATTATACAAAATCATAATTAGCAAACTTTATACATATACACACAAAAAAACATCTCTTAAAGTAAAAAGAAGGCCATGATGACCCTAATTCGCCATATTTCATGTCATTGTAGCATGAAAATATCCCATCCTTCTGGATGTATCCTTATTGTGTTACCTGCATATATGTAACTTTCTTTACATAGACTACACGTGTATATTTAAAAGAAAAAGAAAATTCAAATAAAAAACAATTAAAAAATATATAGAGTTCTATACCTATCAATGAAATTTTCAGTGTCAGTTCTAGATAGGCGCCGCCATTTACAATGTAACTCAATGATAAAAGGCGGTGTATTCCGATAACGTAACATATCTCAACTTTTCGGATTAATAATAATCGTCGAGTGTTCCGAGTGAAAACGGAAGTGGGTACATATAATACCGAATGACACCTTTAAAACGGAAAGAATGAAATGATTTTTTTAACGACTTCCCCGTTCATAGGCTTTGCCTAATTTCATATTTCATCTTTATTACATATACATAGGTTAGTAATATAACATGCCATTTTCTGATCACTAAATATAAATTATGTACATGCATATAAACATAGTAGTTTGACAATGAGATACACAGTACCTCAAACACAAAAATGGTAAGAACTTATAGATAACTATAAACATATGTATATACTTAAGCGAAAAAAACAATCTAATTTGACTAGAACATGGATAAGCAATACATTAATATATTATGTACAAATATACAGATCAACCTATAACTGATAGACACATCTGAACTCAACTAAATAATGAGTTGCATTTTCTTGCATGTATGGACTTGAGAAAACTATGAATTTTGCGGTTCGGATAGGAATATCCATCCCGAAGGGACCTGCCCATTAGGCAGTAACGAGACTTGCCGAGTTACCGCCAATGGGCGGGTCCCCTTTGGGACGGATATTCCAATCCTAACCAAAATCATTTAAGAAAAATTATACTTATGAAAATTAAACTATTGTACAAGAATAAAACATTAAATGCTTTTTTTCAAATCTTAGGTCATTATGAAGATATAGGTTTAACTTTTTCTCTCTAAAATAGCGGAACATAATTTATCTAATTGAATAAAAACAATTTTAATCATACTTTCTTTAAAGTGAATTGGTCTATAAAGGAAACTATGTAATTCCTATATATAAAAATTTGATAGTATTCAGTATCATATGTTTAAAAAAACCACGAAAGAATTACATATGGCTGTTGTTGGTAAGTGTGTATAAAATACATGATCTGATATGACATATCAATATATAGCATATAATTAATAAAGGGTTCTTCAACAAAATATTATAATAACTTATATACTGTGCTAATACTTAATCTCTTTAGAAATCTATCAACTTTTTTGTTTTCAGTAATATCTCATAAGTCTGAGTATCCCAAAGTCACATCTCTTGTGTTTTTATTGATACTTTAAATGGTAAATGTGCCCTTTCTAGACCAATCCACTTTAATTACAAGCGTTTTTTACACGTTTCATTTTTGTTTTCTAATGGATATATGAAATTCACAAACAAAATTTCTGATGGAACTATTAAATATTTGACAGCGGCCTTCGGGTAAGAACTTTCTTTACAGATATAAATTCTCCTTGAAGAAAAAAAGGTTAAGTATAAACGATGCAACAGTTTGCTGGTCTATTTTGTTAAGGAACTAGAAGATTTACAATGTATTGGTGCTGCACTGTTTTTTGGTGTTTTTTTAAAATTCTTTTGGATATGTTTCTGTTGAGCCAGGACCAGATGTTAAGTCTTCATATTGGTCTCTAGTAGGAGCATAATCATCAATGTCACTGTTGATTTACTCGAGCTGATTTTCTGGAAAAAAGCATAAAGAATAAATGAGAAAATCGAATAACAGTGTAGATTACAGTATTTATTATCATAATTATGTTTTATGTATTTTATGATTCACACACATTTAATATGAACATAAGTAAATCAAAATTATAAATTTCCATAAGCCAGATTGTTTCATTTATAGTAAGTACCTAAGTAATTTATTGATTATATTGGCATGTGTTAACATTTTTTTATAAATCAAACAATATAACATAATATATATAACACACCTAGCCCAATGACCTATATATTCATTTGTTAAAATAGTTGCCATAAAGTGATAGAAATACAGATAGAATATATTGAAATTGCCCTTTATATGGATTCAGTTTTTTTCCAAGTTGTTGGGAACATGATCCATGCCCATGGAATTAGGAATTTCAGCGATGTTTTGTTAAAATTTGGGAAAAATTGCAAGACTTAAATTTTGCAGTGATTAAATGAATACAAAGAATTACTGTCTTTGATGGCATCTGCATTATTTAAACACCATAACAGTGAAGAAGCCCTTATTTTTAAAGATTTTGGAATTTGTTATTCAATATTTTTATTTTGTAACTTTCAATTGGGATTTTTTTCCTGTGGATTGGGAAAATAATGTACTATTTTCAATCGGGAACATAACCAAATATAAAATAAGGCAAAAACATCCCCTATCGGATCATAATATGTCCATGACCTGACACATGAGTAGAACCATAGACCTTCTGTAATCAAATTGAATTGAATAATATCATCTTCCGACGGCCAGCTGAAATGGATTATTTAAGCTTATAGGCTTGAAAACAAGTAGAATTACGGACCATCTGTACGCAAACTTAATTTGAGCCGCGTCATGACAAAACCAACATAATGGGTTTTGAACAAGCATGGATCCAGACCAGCCTGCGCATCCGTGCAGTCTGATCAGGATCCATGCTGTTCGCTATCAGTTTCTCTACTTGTAATAGGGTTGGTAAGTGAACAGCATGGATCCTGATCAGACTGCTGGTCGCAAACCCATTATGTTGGTTTTTTCGTGACGCGGCTCATTTAATCATTTAGGCACGAGCTGACATCTAAGTAGAACCACTTCCTTAAATAGTTAGTCATATGAATAAAACTATTTGACATAAGCTGATATCCGTTTAAGAGGCCCAAGCTGATATCCGATTACAGCTAGTCAACTGAGTAAACATATACGCATGCGATGACATCACAGTATGAACCTCTGGCCTGCTGTAAGCCATCTGGGCATAATGGCTGGCAACTGAGTTGAACCACTGCCTGTTGTCTGAGCTAAGTGAATTTAACTCAATATATCATTTGGCCTAAGCTGATATCCGAGTAGAACCACAGACCTTTCGTAAGATAACTAGTACCAAACTTGGCGTAAAATTTAATATTTTTTCAACAATTTCCCTAAAAATCGTCCATTTATAAATTTGTTGAATGAAGCAATTGTCTTTTGCATGGAAGCAATCTTCGATATTTTATTTTACTATCTTTATTGGATTTAATTGATCTGTCAATCATAAAATATAATTTAAGGCTTACCTTGTCAACAAAGGAACATGGTATTTTTGATGCTCGAAATAATCTATAACTACACAAATCCTTATTCTGCATCACAAAGATTTTGATCTAAGGCCGCTGAAACGAGAAATAAGACACAAGATTGACGAATATCTTGTAAATGGGGAAATTTTGCAGAACAATGTTTTATTTTTATGTAGTCAAATGTTGTGTGAACAAGAGGGTCACGATGAACCTTATGTCGCTCACTTGATTATAAAGGCTCTAACTGATATGGAGCAATAAATTTTGTAAGTTATGAATGAAATGCAGATTCTCATCTTAAACTGATAATTATCACAAAGTTCATATAAGCATCTCAAATATTGTACATTTAAGATAGATGTCACTGTAAGGCGGGAGGTGTAACACTCAGCTTTTTCTCTTCCTTGTCGCTATGAAAATCAATGGTTGCTAAGTAAAGTCAAAATTTGTTAGGTTGCTATGAAAAGTCAATGGTTGCTATGGAATGTCAACTGCTGCTATGAAATTAAAGTCACTTGTTGCTATGGAAAGTTAACAGTTGCTTTTGAAAACAGTGGTTGCTATGTAAATGGTTGTTATCTATATATATGTCATTAGTTGCTTTAGAAGTTAAAGGGACTCCGCTGAGGTTTTAAAGCCTAAAAACATAACATTTGAATTCCTTACATAAATCAGCAGGGTACTTAAATTGAACAGGAATATATGCAAAGATAGCTTAGAAATTTACTTTGAAATAAATGAAAAATGGTATTTTATGGTTTTCTTAGCCCGATTTGAGTGAGCAGTGTTTAAACGCTTTTCATTTTAGGTCATTTTTTACAATTTGAATAATTATTCTGGAAAAAAGCAGTGACGGAATGTTCTGAAATTTTGCACAAAGATTAGTGGTCTAAACCCTACATTAAATGGTACATTTATCTGGAAAAACTATTTTCAGTCCCATCATGTCAAAAAAAAACTCAGTGGAGTCCCTTTAATGGTTGCTAAGTATTAAAATAGCAATGGTTGTTAAACATTTAGAATCTAAGGAAAATCCATGACTCTTTCAATGGGTGCACAGACGCTGGGGGGTCAGATCCTGCCCCCAACATGATACACCCCTGTAAACACTCTATCAATAATATTTAATTATTTAAACACAAATGGGACATCTGCTACAACGATATTACTAATTTTCAAACAATTTTTAAATATCTGAAAAAATTACCTTTTACCATCAAGTCTCAATAAAGTTTATTGAGTTGGGCCAGGGGCCAATTAATATCGACCCTGATTCTATAAAAAAAACTATAAAAATGCATACGCGTATGCATGTATTATAAAAAAATTATAAGACCCCTTAATTGGGGCTGGTTCAATTGAGACCTCCAGGATTACAATTTGAAAATAACTTAAAAGAGGTCCACAGAACAATATTTCATTCAGAATATCTTATTCTCTAAGCTAAATAGCCTTTATGATTTTAGAGAATTATATATCTATTTTGGTTTTTACTTTTACTACATACATATAAAGACAATCTACCCCCCCGGCAAACTAGGGAAATTTTGACCCCCAAGCTATAATTTGTATAAACTTGTTTGAGGAGCACTGGACAATGTTTCATGCAAAACACCTAAGCTTTAGGCCCTTGAGGTTTTTAAAGTTTTTAATTATGCGTAAATCAAAAATCCATGACCCCCCCCCTTTAAATTAATCCAACAGCTCTATAGATGTTGGATTAATTAAAAGGGGGGGTCATGGATTTTTGATTTACGCATAATTAAAAACTTTAAAAAAATAATTATATGATTTAATAAACTTGATTGATTCTTGACAATTATATAAGATTAAACCTCCATTGTACAAGGGAACAATATCTAAAACGTTACCAATATACATTTAAGGAAAATTTAAGACCCCCCCCCCCCTCCTGTTGGGCAAACATTGACCCAAGAACTTTAATAATTTAAACATACTTGGTACAGGTAAACTAGACAATGTCTAATGCAAAATACCTTAGCACCAGTATACCATCTCTCGAACGTTACCATCTCTCGACCAAAGTGAAACATTTCATATTTGACAAATTAAATTTATGTTGTGCAGCAAGGGGTAGTTTAATAAAGTGACAAACACTTACATTTCCTTTGTTTTGGCAAAGTTCCATTTTTACAGCTTCATTTTAACCATTTTAATAGCAGACGAAAGTTCAATTTTAAGATAATGGCAGCCTACTTTCATTTTTGAAATTGTATATTTTTGTAAATTTACCACTTTATTAACGTAGATTTATGGAATAAGTGAGAACAATAAGAATTCATTTAGAAGACTTCTTTCACGAAAATATAAGCGTAATTTTACTGTATTTTTGATTTGTTATAGGAACTGTCGACACAAACTCCTCACAGTGATTACCTCCCTTGGCAGAATCTAATCCTGCTGTAAGGGGAGATCACTGCGTAGGAGATTGCAAACTCATCACAGCGGTTACGTCACGCTTTGCTACTTTAGCTCCTCACAGCGGTTACGTCACGCTTTGCTACTTTAACCACTGCCACCACTGAAATCACGTGATGGTAGTTGTATCATGTGACAAAAACATGGCGGCCAGTTTCAGAACGCCAAGGATCCCGTATCAAACTGGCAGATTTATAATTACATCCTTACCAGACAAAATAAGTTCAAGACACACAATTTGTTATCACTTTAAAACAAGTGCGGGATCAAATTTTTTGTGTAATCGTTCAATAACTGTTTATATTCTGCCATTGTTACTATGCATACGGTGTCACAGTGAAAATATATTTCGAAATGTTTTCAAAATAATTTTTATACGTATATTTTTTTACTTTCTTGTACATTAAGCATAACTATTTAACGAAAGAAAACTAAAATGATATAAAGTATTCTATTTCAAAATTAAAAGTGAAAAAAATATATCCGGCTATATTCGACCGAATTTACTTGTGGTGGCAGTGGTTACTGTACAGATCAGGGGAAGTAACCGCTGCGTTACTGTACAGATCAGGGGAAGTAACCGCTGCGAGGAGTTTGAGGAGATTGCTGTCGACATTCATTGTGTACACCGGTCTTACTGACCGATATTTGAGACCGGTGTGTATACAATGGTCGACATTGACCTAGTTTCTTGATTTATCGTTTTGTTCAATCAAATATTTAATCGAACAAGATAAATTAAGTTAAACACCACTAAATTTATGTATTTCTTCTATTGTTCTTCTATTGTTCTCAACATGCAATTGATTCCATTATCAATGTTGAAAAGGGATAATCAAATTTTGGTTGATATTTGTGACATGACATGAAAACGAATGAAAATGTGTTTGCTTTGTTCTATGTACAGTAGAAAACTTGATTAATGCTTATAGTTTCAATCTAAATTATCTCCTCTTTGTACATGTTATTCGTACACTACAAATAACTTGGTTCGATAATTGGTAGCAAGGGGTCAACTTTTTCTACTAATCAAGCACGCCAATGAGTCCACCACAGCCTTTTTCAAAGGTATTGTTGACAAATTTTAAATAGGTCAAAACGGACACAACACATGTCTCTACAATCAAGAACTTTATTAAGTTTAAAGAAACTTAACATCCTAAAAACAATTACATTTAAGTGAAATTATTGTTCGAGAGATGGTACAAGGAGGCTAGCTTTAGTATTGATTGATTTAGAAAAGTTGACCTTTTAATTACTTTAATTATATGAAAAAAAATTATGCCCCCCCCACCAGGCTGGGTCAGTTTAGACCCTAGGGCTACTATATGGTTTAAAGGAAACTGGTTGACAGGTCAGCATCTAATGTTATTAAAGGAGACACTAAATTAATTAATAATTAAAAGAGTCTGGCAATTAATGTTACAGTAAAGATAAAAATCTAACGAGAAAATAAGAAAAGAAAAACAATCTTGATTTTTAAATTAATAAAATGTATAGGAGATAATTATAGAGAGTTCTATATGTTCACCTATGTATTAAAAAAATACTTTATTTTGATAAAAAAATATCGATTTTGGGAAAAAAATCATGCTAGATCCTAAATATTAATTAAAAAAGTTGATTTATTTAAATCAAATATATTTTCAAGTAAAGGTTAATATAAGAGTATTGTTCACTGTTAATATATAATCCATTTCAGTTCTTACATTATGCATCTATAACAAAAAACAAAAACAAAAACAAAAAATCTATATAAGATCACTTACCTGTTAAATATTTCCATATCCTAATCGAACTTTTATATCCATTGAATTCCGTAAAAACTTCCTTGAATTATTTCTATTATTTAAATGTTTTTATTTATAAACAATTGTCACTTAAATTATTAATTGAAAACGAAAGTACATGTGTCCTTGTTAAAGTTTGAAGAGCCGCCATTTTGTTTCTAAGTGTCCATAATTAAATTGTTTTTATTAATTAAAATCATTTAAGTCATTTCTTCAGTTTATTATACAATGTTTTTTCTTGTCTATTCTTTGCTTGGTTTTATTGTTTTGAACTTAATTATCTGCAACCTGCTGTCGTCTTGTATCACATGAAAAGTTTGTGATCTCCGAATATTTTCTCTAACACGGTCATATTCTGTTTCCGGTTTAATGCGTCTCATCTCTACTGTAACTGACTGCGGCAGATTTTCCAGCACGATAATAAAGTTCTGTAAACTTTCTGCAGACATTTCTATATAGCACAACACCACACGTTCAATATTCAACATGTCACGTGACAGTAACAATGAACTTTCATCTAGATTGATGTCCCACAACGTAACATTAACTAATGACGGTGTTGATATATTTAATTGTAGACTCCAAGGTAACTTGAACAAGTATAACTTTGATAGAGTTGAATGTTGAGACAAGTCCAAGTTCAATCTCTTACAACCATGGCCGCCATGTTCTTTACAGTCTAACCCCAACAATATTAACTCTTTCATTGATTTTTGACCGGAGATAAAATTGAAAATTGTTTCCAGTATTTTGTGAGATAACGTGAAGCCTCTAATATCTAAATATTGTAAGTTTTGACATCGCGCCATGTTTTCATTCAGACTTTCTTCATCATTTCTCCATGTACCGCGCAACAAAGTAACGTAATGTAAACTGGGAAACAATATCCGACTTATCTCAGCCTCCTTCTTCTCGTCACCATAATAGAGAAGTTTCTGTATATGACTGAGATCTGTGAGAGAGAATAAATCTATAATTTCACGTAAACTGCTGGAAGAAGACATGCTGTGTATATAAAGTGATTTTATGTTGGTTTTATTTTGTTTAAATAAACGTTGTAACTGCGTACTGTGAACATCGGTCTTCGTGTAAATGAAGAAATCTTGTAAACATAATTGAATATTTTCACTTTCAGGCATTTCTTGTAAACATGACATGAACATTTTCTGTATGTCATACAATGGAATATTGTACCACTCCTCGTAACCTGTCCTAGTTCTATAGTCGCGTGTTTTCTCGTCTTCATTTATCACAGACATCAAATCATTTGATATTGCACACATCAGGTCAGCATTCATTCCACTTATAAATTCACAAATTTTTGACATGTCCAGAATGTCTTGAACATTTCTACATTTTTCTTCCACAATTTTCTGAGCGTCACTTTGAGAACTTATAAATATGGCGGCAAAGAATTCTTGCACTGTTTTGTGAGAAAACGACACTTTGATAATTTCTTTGATTAAAGTTTTAGTTCTACTTTCTGACAGTATTCCTGAGAGAAAACTTAATTTCATGTCGTCTGCTTTGAGATATTTTTCAGCAACCGTTCTATCAAATACAAGCGTGTTTTCTCTGTTTTCGTTAAATAATGTTTGGTAAGCTAGCTCTGCTAATGATGTTATAAAACTGTAAAAAAGTTTACAGAATTCATGACTTTTGAAGTATTCTGGAATTTCACTGGCAGACGATTCACGAGATGGTTGAACTTCCGGGTGTTTCTTTGATGTTCTGGATAATAGAAATTCAATGATATTGGTGTAAATTTCATGTTTTGTATTTCCTATGGGAATGTTGTTGCACCATAGGCAAACTATATACATGAGGAGGAGTGGAATCACTTGCATGTGCTCTAGGCGACGGTCACGTATCAATTTATTAAAGTCACGTGTTTTACTCTTCAGTACGCTTTTGTCATGGACACCGGTCATTTTCGTTATAGCATTTTCTTGTAGTTTTAGCATAGAGTCTTCACTTAATTTAATCAATTCTACTTTTTTGTCTATTTGACTTGTTTTGAGATTTGAAACTCCAAACTTCCACGGTCGAGTTGTCGTTAAAATCACACAGTTATCACGTACGCACCTATGTGGGATTTCTGCTGTAACCTCGCTACAACTTTTACCAGGGTGATTCCATTCATCAAGACCGTCCAATATAAGCAAGCACTTTTCTCTACTTAAAACTTCATTTAGTTTTGATTTACATGAATTTTCATCTAGTGATTTCAATGAAGGAAGATGCAAAGAAAATTGCTGTCTAATCATATCGTCAATGTGAGAAACAGAGGTATGATCTCTTAAGAAAACCAAAAGTAAGAACTCAAATTTAGATAGAGCTTTTAACTCAATATCCTCAAAACACTTATTATCATCGTATTGTTCCTCTGGACAATGAGCTTGACACCACGCTATTGCAAGATATTTTGAAAAGGCAGTTTTTCCAAAGCCTGCGTCAGCTAATAAATAGATTTCTTGCTGATCCTCACTTTCAGTTGAGAAAAGGTCACCCAAAGACTTGATCGGTGTTCTCTCCTCTTCATGACAAACTTCGGACTTCTGCTTTACGGCGACAATATCTGGCATCACGTAGAACCCAGCTAGAAGTGTCTCTTTTTCTTCAAGAAGCGGTGAGAGAGGTATTGAACTACACCTTTTTCTGTAGAATTTTATCAGATCGCATTGAAGTTCTGAAAAGAGAGCAGAAAAAAAACTTAATCAGTGACAATCTTTCTATATAATATATAAAAGGCTGAGGCGTTTAATAACTTTAATTTTGCATGGTTTGGATCTGATTTGATCTGATAATGCATAGGGCGATATATATATATATATATATATATTACATTAAAAAATATGTAAACAAAGCGTTATCACGGAGGGGGAAATAAGAAGGGGCAAATTATTACTCGAAATAGGAAGTAATTTATCATTATTGTTTGTCCTAATCCGAATTCCTCGGCTATTATTCACAATAATTTTTATTAACCTGTCATATACAATAAATGCACACAATATATAGATCTTCGAAAGATTTTCGGCAACGCTCGTGAGGTGTTCCCTTTAAAATGTGTTTCAATTTATTTGTTTCTGTAAAATATTTAAACTGAGCGTTTTAACGCTAAAGGGAAAACTACTAGCTTGTTTGTTCTACATTTTCGCAAACACTTGGCAATTTTCTATTAAAGAATTCTTCATAAATAAAGAAAGAGAAAAAATATGACGACAGTTATCCTCTGACTACTAAACACTCGTATAAAAGGCAATCACTTCACCGGATGTGATAACGATATATGAGCTGCGTCACGACAAAACCAACATAATGGGTTTGCGACCAGCATGGATCCAGACCAGCCTGCACATCCGCGCAGTCTGATCAGAATCCATGCTGTTCTGCACTTGGTATAGGGTTTGTAAGTGAACAGCATGGATCCTGATCAGACTGCGCAGATGGGCTGGCTGGTCTGGATCCATGTTGGTCGCAAAACCCATTATGTTGGTTTTGTCATGACACGGCTCATATATTCTTATTAAGCTAGTATGTCAAAACAATATTTGAGCCACGTCACGACAAAACCAACATAGTGCGTTTGCGACCAGCATGGATCCAGACCAGCCTGTGCATCCGCGCAGTCTGATCAGGATCTATGCTGTTCGCTATCAGTTTCTCTTCTTGTAATAGGGTTTGTAAGCGAACAGCATGGATCCTGATCAGACTGGTCGCAAACCTATTATGTTGGTTTTGTCATGACGCGGTCCATTTATAGATTCCATATTATTAACTTAAACTACACGGATATAACCGAAGTTGGATCGAATATTTGAATTAGTGTTATAATGTATTCCTTTTTGAAAACAGGTCAATAAAATCTAACTGTAAAAGAATATCTACTAATTTGTTTTAGGTGTAAAACACATGTTGTACTCTTTGATTGAGTTGTTATTAAAATTGGTTATTGAATATTTCCATATATCTTAAAACTCATAATCTATCATTCTTGACGAAACCACAAGCTGCTTATTATCAGAAGAAACCAATTCCCGTTAACAAGTAGGATCTGTACGATACTGAACGCCCCGAGGCTGACCAGTATGTCAGTAAGCTATAAATTTGGCATACGGAAATTCTAGGTTATAAAGCCGCGTCGTAAACTCAAAAGGTAGAACAATAAATCGGGCGACCCGAGGGTTCGATTCCCCGGACGGCGCAGCCACTTTCGTTGTGATTGATCATGAAATCCTTTCTACGGTCAATCTTTCTGTACCTTTGCTCTGGCACGTACAGAAGTTTCAATTCCGTGCGAAAGTGAAGGCAACCAGTACTGGTAAACTGCTTGACAGCCTGCCAAGGAACGATGTGGGGGTTGAATATTGCTCTGGTGGAATTCAGTGTGGCTTACTGTCGTGACCCGGAGTGAAAACTACCAACACCACCACCTCTACCTTTCACAAAGTACAAAGTAACCCCCCCTTCTCGTACTCAAATCACTTTCCTTCTACTCAAGCAAAAATTAGATTTTTTAGCTTCTTATTTTTCAGAAAACGCCTTTCAATACAAATACAGATAAGATGTTTTAAATTATCATATACTAATTAAATAAATATTGTTAAATATTGACAAAAAAACTGCGTATTTTCATTTTCAGTATTTCACTGTAAAAAATGTATTTTCACTGCAATGAAACATATTTCCCGTATTTTCTAAAGAAAAAAGTATATATCTATATAAATAAGAAAAAAAAGAAAATGCAAGTTTTTGTTCTAGTTAACTACAGGATTTTTTTTCATCTTGTGGTATGCAATTATCAATATTTCACTCGTGGCTACCGCACTCATGAAATATTTATATTTCATAGCCACCCAATGAAATAAAAACCTGTATTCATAGAAAAAACTTAAAAACGCTCTAACAAACTAAATGAATTCAAATGGCAGAGTATATTTGAATAATGTATATTAAACTAAACAAAAATGTAATTGATCGTCTGCTATCACTTCCGGTAGAAAAATAAAGACTGTAAAGACTTTTTCGAAAGAATTTAAAGTGAACTAAGTTCAAATTTGCAATAAACAAAAAATCTTACCGGTGGTTACCACTGGTATTAAATGATTTGAATGTAAATGCAGAAATAGAAAAAAAATAGCAAAAACAATTTAATGTGCCTTCACTGGTGAAATTTATGCCAGACTATCTGAAACAAACATACATATCTATAAATAAGAAATTGATTTATTTCTTGACAGTGCCAACAAAGGAAGGATCCATAATGTTAAGGTAAGAGGGTGTCGCAGGAACACAGTGGTTGAAAATGGTGCAAATTCTCGGAGGAAAGGGTCCGTTTTTTACACACAAAAATCTGTTTAAGTTGCGGCAGACAATTCTATTTAATTCATGCAAACACACACACGTGCGCGCAACACAACACACGCACAACATACAACACAATTTTAATTTTGCTGATTGTTGAGAATTCTCAGTTTAGGAAACAAAAAATATCTTGAAACACGAGGCCGTGGTAGGGCGCCGGGTGTGTGGGGAGGGGGGCTGGATGAAACCCTCTACAATGCTGCAGGATTTTCATCACTTGTAGATGTTTTCATTTTGCCGTTTTTCATGTCAGTTTAGCAGTGCATAAAATTTACATTCTTTATGCATTATTTATATGCTGCATTCCATTAAAATTAGTTATATTCAAAGGGGTAGGTGCTCATCATAAGTTATTAATGTACATTGGTTTACCAAAAGCTATTAAAGTATTGTAACAAATACTTTTATTACATTAGACATAATTTTATCATGATTTTTTTTGAAAAGTGACTTAATACTCATCCACACACATGGCAAATATAACAATAAAATGTGCATTTATGTGCTTCCATCTTAATATTACTCACCCTCTTTTCGGTTGTTTTTTGTATTGTCTCTGATCTTAAAGATCAGTAAATACATAGCTAACAATCCACGGTCTAACACAAATCTCCTTAACAGTCCTAACAACGCGAAGTAAGTTCCTCACTCAAACTGCTTAAAATCCAGCAATTTAAAAAGAAAGAATAATTTTTTAATGTAGGCCATTTAAGCAAATTACAGTGTATTGTTAAAGTTTAGATTGAGTCAATAGAAATATGAGGTTACAATTACAAATTTCGCGGATGAATATGCTTTTTTACCCAATGAAAAATGTTTCGGCTATTTTCGCGTAAAGCTTCGGTCATTATCATGAATATCATTTTAATCAATGAAAATTGCTATGTTTAGCTATGTCGATTAATGAAATACTCCAGAGCCGTAGTACACAAATTAAATCTGACTGTCGAGTAGTGGAAATATGTACATGTCGGACTGTTTTGGCGAGAAGATTTTTCCGCTAAATTATTTTCATCAGCTGTTTAAACAACAGGTTTTGATCGTGAACAAAATACTCGAAATTAATAAGGATTGCTAAACACGAAATGGAATTCTGCGAAATAAATTTAGAATTACATAATGTATTTGTTTTTTATTCAAGGGGTACATATGTATTAATTCGCCGTGGTGCAGAGGTATAGCGGTCTCTTTTGAGGGTGTGAGAGGCCTATGGTTCAAATTGCTAGCTAGTCAGGCAATTCTAATTTTTTTTTCATGCTAAAATTCCATATGTATGCATCTCATACTGTTAAAGAAGAAAATCAAAAACGCTGTCGAATGCCGTAAGATGAAATTATAGTAATATAAAAATAAACTTATACAGGAAATTAACATACAGATAGTCCCAGTAATGATTTAGATTGGCAAAGATCAGAAAATACGCATAGAGCTGGCAGCCGCTTTGATTATTTGTGGGTCGTCAGACCCAAACAAATAATGGTAGCGAAATTTCAGAGTCTAATGCTGTTAATTGCAAATGCCGAAAGTAGTCCACTTTTTTGAAGCGGTTACTTCCCTTTATATGTGTACACTATCGCCGAAAAAAATCAGGGGAGATCACTGCGTAAAGATGGTCAAAGACTGGTGCATTAGTTTTCAAGCAAAATAATTCCCGAATGGTCGAATATTTCTAATATTGTTTTATTGTATTTTCTGATCGAAGATCAGGAAATACAAAGCGTACATTCAATCTCTGACACAGAAGTTTACGACAAACCTAACAACAAATAGTTCTCAAAACAGCTTAAAACTAGCGATTTAAAAGAAAGAAATATTTTTATTTTGTTACAAGTATCCAACAAATTACAACGCATTCAAAGTTTAAAAATAGCGTTGGCTTATAGAATTGTCAATAAATGCACAATCACAAATTACGCGGCTGAATATGATTTTATCAATGAAAATACTATTTTTAGCGATGTCGATTACCGAATACTACACAAACCGAGTAGTGGAATATATAGATTCAACATGTCGGACTGTTTGGGCGAAAAGATTTTCGCTAAATTATTTACTTCAATTTAAAACAACAGGTTTATCCTGAACAAAATACCTCGAAATTAATAAGGATTACAAACCCGAAATGCAATGGAAGTTCTAAATTTAGAATGACTTGTTCTTATTGAATAATGTTTATATAACTTCTTCGTGGTGCAGGGGTAACGCGCTCGCTAAGCGTTTGAGAGGAGTTCAACTCCCAGTCGAGGAAACTTTTATTTTTTAATTCTTTTTTAAGTGTCTTTGTTAAGGAAGTAGCCATGCATGATATGCAAGGATAAAGAG